ATAATAATAATAATAACAATAATAATAGCATTTATTTTAACACAATGGAATTACAGTTACAAACTGATGTGGTTGTGTGCCTAAATAATTAACCCTTTATAAAATACCCAAACCAGTTTCCCAATTTTCCATTTATTTTTTTATTTCTTTAATTATTTTATGAAAAAGAATACAAGTGCTAGTAATTTATGGCTATTTCTTAATATTAATTTTTAATAAACTACTTCAACACAGCAGCAATCTTTGATCTCAATGCATTATGGGGTATCCAGGGCACAAAGCAAAACAAATATTGCAGAATATTTGCCCCCCTGGATGCCTGATAATGCAAATCAACCCAAGATGGCCACTAGATAGAGCTAATGTAAGGCTTGATGATATTTTTCTTTATATTACCTGTCTTTATTACAGCAAAAGATGGCACCTTGATCACTTTTACCCACAAAAGAAAGAAAGACATTTTAATTTTTTCATCTCTGACTTAGGGCTTATTATTAAAGGCTAGGGGCTTAATAGACCCTTTTCGATTTCCAAATTACCGCCATGTTCCTCGATTACAGACTCATTCACACAGGGTTAGCCTCGTATCAGTGTCTAATGACTCGCAAATACCAATCGTAAAGTAAAGAATGCACAACTTCAACAATACAAACACTTTGAAACTCGACGGACCTTGACTGGAACACGTGAATATTCTGCACAAACTCGAGGCTAACCCTGTGCAAATGAGTCTGTAATCAAGAAACACAGCGGTAATTTGGAATTCGAAACTGGTATATAGAGAAATAGAGACTTTTTYCCCATAATACAGCTTGGGCTGCCTGTGGTTCGATGGCAGATTAATAAAATCTATTTGCTCTCGGAATAGAATTATTTCTTAATATGTAAGACAATTGTATTGTTCCTGACATCCAACATGGCTCCCATCAAGTGATGTTGCAAAATCTCTATAGAGCGTTTTCACTCATGTGAGAAGGCAGCCATAAACAATAGAAACTTTCTGCACAGTATTGGCATAAAAATAGAGTTCAATTCCYGGAGGATAGAAAATGTATTGTTTTGGTACCCCATAATGGCCGCTGTGACATCACCTGAAAACCCTATATACAGTATCTAACATAACTTTTTTTTGTAGAGCATTGACGTCAAATGGGATGACCCACCAAAAAGATACCAAAATGGTAAAATTACAGGTTACATCATTCAATACTCATTGAACTCTGGCCAGGCTATTCCTCAGAGCATACAAATACCCACTGGTATCCTACAAAAGACTATTACTGGACTCAAAAGTGGCCAGGTTTATAAAGTACAARTAGCAGCAGCAACTGCTAAGGGTGTAGGACCATTCAATGAAGCCAAAGTTATTGCCGTTGCCACTCAGCYGAAAAATGGTAAGAGCTAGCAACTTGAGAGAAATTACTTGGGTATCAAGGGTTGTGTAGTGATAATGCAATAGCCCACTTCCAAGATATGCTTGGATAGTCATGCACAAAGGTTTCAGCATGAGGCTACATGCTAAATTAAATTAATTCTTACCGCCTGTCATGAATGACTGAGCATTTAGTATGTAGCCTCATACTGAAACCTTTGTGCGTGACAAGCGAAGCATATCTTGGAGTTGGGCTATTGAATTGCCTCTCACCTCTGGTGCCTTGGCAGTAATTTCCTGGATTGGTGTCACATATATATAGGACTCCAGAGTTTAAAGGGTTTTTTCTGGGTTCTTCAGTTTTCATGACTCAGCAAAAACCAACTTGCTAAATAGTAGTTCAATCTGTGAGTTAGCCATGCCCTGACTTAGATCAGCGCAGAGGTTGTTTCAGGGTTTGATCTGTAAGTTAGCCATGCCCTGACTTAGATCTGCCCAGAGGTTGATTCAGGGTTCAATCTGTGAGTTAACCATGTCCTGACTTAGATCAGCCCAGAGCCTGATTCAGGTTTCAATCTGTGAGTTAACCATGCCCTGACTTAGATCAGCCCAGAGGTTGTTTCAGGGTTTGATCTGTGAGTTAGCCATGCCCTGACTTAGATCAGCCCAGAGGTTGTTTC